GCCAGGAAGAGTTCTCAGCAGATACGGAACCCTGTTGGACCTTGATCAGGGACTTTTGTCCCCCAGAACTGTGAGAAAGTACATTACTGTTGTTAAAGGCTTCATCCTATTCCTGTCTCCCTAGTTAGTGACATGTTACTGTAACCTGTGCTTACTAAGAAAAAACTCGAAGAGATCAGCACTGACAGAGGACTCTGAAGTTCTGGTATTCTGACAGGTCAAAGAACAGCTTGAATTCCTGAGATGAAATTTATGTAAACAACGACAGCCTCTAGACTATATAATTGTGATTAATAGCTTAAATAATAGAGTGATACAGAAGTTGTGACTGAAACACAACAACCACACCACATCCTGTTCCAAGGCTGTAAGAAGTGTTATGCTTGTGTGCGTTTAGAAAAGTTAAGTATAACCAGAGTGTCTGAGTTCCCACCGACTTTAAAAAGCACCATGTACAGAGTCTGTGGCAAAACAAAGGAAACAAGTGGATGAGGATGCATTCCAGATGCCCATATTGCTCAGGTCTACCACACTCCTCAGAAACTACTGTCTTCCTCATGGTGTAACTGCCATTAATTAAGAGAATAATACATTTATTTGAGATAAAAATGACCAAATTCTCACAGTGGAGAATGTTCCATGCTTTTGTGACTACACCAATTACTTCTTCTTAGAGGAACTGAAGACACAGACTGTGGTCATGCCAATATTCTGGTTCATACCAATCGCCAAATACAAAAGAAAAGCAGCAAATGTCCCAGAGATGGCTTCCTTCCAGAAAGAGGTATCTCTTGAAGAGAAATATTGAACACAAAAATGTAACAGGAAATAATTACAGTAAAAAATATGAATCCTACAATTGGCTATTTTAAACTTGAATAACAATAATCTGGAAAAATAGTATCAAATAAATACTTAGGTGGAATGTGGTGGCTCTTCCCCAGTTAGTCCACAAAAGATGTGGAAGAAAAATATCAATGTTGCCTACTGAGTTATAATTTTATGAGCTGAGTGGCAGAAAAATTCACTGGAAGGACAATGAATGAAGTTTTGCTTGGTATATATGTTTGGATACATGAAATATTTTGACCCCATACAGTTTTGTCAATAGTGCTTTCAACTGAGGTAGACACAGGGCAACTGCCTCTGGAGTCCAGTACACACCTGCAGAAATTTTGTTGTGGCTCAGCAGAGGTAAGACTATGTGGCGCATGAACTGTATAAGCCACACAGACTGTTTTATTCATTTGAGCCAATGCTTAAAATTAGGCAGGCCAAAATGAAAACGGGCACTTCATGTCATCTGGACATTCAGAAGACCCAACAACACTGGCCTGCCTTCTCACAAGTCAACAACAGCGTGCACTGTCCCTTTTAGGGGAAGTGCTCTTTTTTAAAATACCTGTTCTGGACTTAATTGTTCACATTGTTCACATTGCCCTAATTCCCTATATGACCGTGTTTGGAGATTGGGCCATCAAGGAGGTAATGTAGGGTAAATGAAGTCAAAAGAGTAGGGCTTTAATACACTTTCTCTTCCTTCATTCTGCTGACACGGAGGAAAGGCAATCCGAGGATACCAAGAAGAAAGGCTCTTGCAAGCCAAGGAGAAAGGCCTCGCCAAAAATCAGTCTTGGATTTCTATCCTCCAGAACTGTGGGAAATAAATGTCTGTTGATTAAACCACTGTGGCATTTTAAGCTGATTAATACACAGTTTATGCTCCAAATATAAGAGTTATCTGGGAATTCTTCCCATGGTCCATGCTTTACATTCAGTCATCGATCCACTTCTCCAAGCTTATTTGCTCCCCATTCCTCCTGCCCTGCTCCAGTTCTGACTCCATGATCCCTTCTGGATTTACTGTCTATTTTTTTTTATAGATTTATTTATTTATACAAGCACTGGGTACAGTCCGAAGCGCGGCAGGGTTAGAATATTCACCAGAGCCAGAGCTGGGAACAGAACAGGCAGACTGATGAAATTCACTGCTGAGGGGAGCAGCGGGAGAGGTCTGTCGTGCCATGTGGGACCCTCACCAGTGGCCGGGGATGGAACCAGTGCTGCAGAGGCTGCAGTCAGCTTCGCAGCCCAGAGCTCAACCGCTGTGCGCCACTAGGGCAGGTCCTACTGTCTATTTTTAACTGGACTTTGATGTTATCTCCACTCTGCCCTTGCACCCCCTTAAAATATAGCACTCCGAGCCTGCAAGAATGCTCCATCTAAAAGTTAGAATGGGGCCATGTCACTCTTGTCACAAGCCCCCATGTGACAAACATGTGACTCCCAGACTCTTGTGCCTTTTGCACCATGGGGAGACTAAGTTCTGTGTAGGAAAACAAAGCTCAGAGGATAGGATGGATCCATGGGGGAGCCATCACACATAAAATCACCATGAAACCATGTGCACTGTGACAAAGTGCTCTATGGAGGTGAAAATGAATTAAGATGGACAAGAGGGAACCAAACATCTATTTATACATATGTATATGTACGTGTATATTGTAAGCGTCTTCTGCTTCACATGTCTTTATTTTTTAAAACATTTCTACTAAGTGTACAATCACATTAAAACATACTGTCTACATAAAAACGTAAAATCATTGTTATACACCTGAATATGCAATAAATGTCAATCATACTTCAATAAGACAAACATATTACATTGCCACAACTCTGGTCTTATTTCTTTTATTCTTTTATTTCTTGAGACACAATCCTCTCCTTTTTGTGTTCTTATAATCTGAAGCATTTACAAAATTTGACTAATTTCAAATTAATTTCTTTGCAAAATAGTATGTGGGTGGAGTAATGTCCAAAACTCCATTTTAGTGGTGGGAGTGCTATGGTGACCACACCTGAGAGGAGAAATACTATACCGTCAAAATATTAACAAGGATGTAAAGCAATGGAATATAATCTCAAAAAAGTTAAAAAATAAAGGAGACTAAAGAGACATGACAACCAAATTCAACTTTGAATCCTGATTTTTTTTCTTATAAGGAGAATTATTGGGACAACTAGGAAAGTCTAAATAATATCTGTAGGTTAATTAATAGTCATGGTCTGACTTTAAGGATTGTACTGTTATGTAAGAAAATATCCTTTTTTTTGGGGGGGGGCCTCCCCGGTGGCGCAGCGGTTGAGCGCTGGGTTGCGAAGCTGCCCGCGGCCTCTGCGGCGCCGGTTCGATCCCCGGCTGCTCCCCGGCCACCGGAGGAGGGTCCCACATGGCGAGCAGACCTCTCCTGCCGCCCGCTGCTCCCCTCAGCAGTGTACTTCGGTCCTTCTGCCTGCTCTGCTCCCCGCTCTGGCTCTGGTGAATTCTCTCACCCTCCCGTGCTTCTGACTGTACCCAGTGCATGTATAAACAAAAACAAACAAACAAATAAATAATAAATAAATAAAAACATGCCTCTATAAAAAAAAAGTTTAAAAAAAAAAAAAAGAAAATATCCTTTTTTTAAGGAAATGCATGCAAGTACTTAGCGGTAAAGGGACATCATGTGTAATTCTCAAGTGATTCTGAAAAAAAATAGGTATAAGAAGGTAGAGAAGCAAATGTGCTAAAATGTTCATATAAATCCATTTTACCCTCACACAAAAATACTGGTTTAACAAGGTATGAAATTTCAGGATTACAGTTCTATATTTTCTGACCTCTGGAAACATGGCTCTGTCACATTCGCAAGTAGACACTTGTAGATAAGATGAGAACTCTGCTTCTGACCCTGGCCTCTCCTCTTTCAAGGTAACCAGCTTATTGATTTATTTTCTGTTCTCTGTTTCTTGAGAAAAAAAAAATTCTCTTTGTCTTAGAATTTAGATGTTTCACCAGGACACAGGAGCTAGATTTGTGTTGTTTTAATGAATCATTCCTGCAGTGGGTGAACCTTTTCCGATGGAAGATTTAGGTGTTTTCTAAATCTTAAGTAAAGGTCACACTCATTTATAAATAAGAACCTTATTCAAGACAAGGACTAGGGTCTTTATGCACAGCAAAGCACAGAACTGAACAACTGTTCTTCTTTAGAGCGCACAAAATGTGCATAAAAGTCATATAATTTTATGTTAAAACTCATATAATTTTATGTTAAATATATATATATTTGCTTTAAAATTTAAAAGGCAATTCATTTCAAACCCCCCTTTGATTCTAAAGAAGAGCACACAGTGTTTTCCATTTGTCAACTTGTACAAGCACCACCAACTTACTACAAGATGGCTCTGAGAAAATACCAGCAAAACATGTGCCTTATTGCTTCAAAATGCTGTGATTCTGTGCCCACGTTCTCGCCTGCACACCGTTCCAGGGGCCATGCTAATTCTGCTCCTGGTTCTGGAAGAGGAGCGAGCATTCTGGCGGGCGGCAGAGTGGAGCTCACACAATGAGACTAGAAACGCCCTGTGTCCAGCTCTTGAAGTTATTTCTCAAAAGTCAACAAGGCACACCCGCCGACAACTCTATTATTCTGACTGGAATAAAAGCTTTGCGGTGGAGCTAAAAGGCCTTATAAATCTCCTTTCATTTGTGTTCCTAAAACAAAGTGCGGCCCGACTACTACTGTTGCAGGAAATGGGATGCTCGAGTTCGCCCTCCCTGGGGACGACACACAGTGGAAATCAATCAATCGAGGGGGGAAAATTCCCAGAGAGCCTCATTAATTAGTAATAAGTCAGCAAGTGGCCGAAATCACAAGGTGTGGAAAAGAGCAACATCACCGGGTAGTGTGTTCGCGACCAAACCACGGCGGGTAACGCCGTGAAAGTGAAAAATCACTGCGCCCCGGGTTCAAGCCCGACCGCGCGCCCTTACCCCGCCGGCGGCCGGCGGCCCCTCCCCGCACCCCGCCCCCAAGCCTGGATTCGAGGCGCTCCCGCCCCCACCTGGGCGGCCGTCGGGTCCCCCCTGTGCCCCGCCCCCACCCCGGCGCCCCGCGGGCCGGGAGCCGGAGGCCGCGCGCGCTCCGCGCAGGGACGCGGCGCCCGACGGCACCTACCGAGCAGCAGGAGCCGGTGCGTCTGCTGCAGGTCCCGCTTCTGCTCGCGCAGCAGGCGGTCGATGCTCCGGCTGACCTTCCTGGCCTGGCGCTCGGCCTCGCGCTCCTCGGCGCGCTGCTGCTCCGGGCGCCCGCCCCGCTCCTTCCCGGCCTCGGCGCGGGGCCGCGCGCCCGCCCGGAGCAGCGGGGGCCCCGCGGCGGCCGGGACGAGGTCCGGGGTCTGGCCGGGCCGCGCGTCCTGCGCCGGAGGCGCCGAGGCCCCGCGGGGGGCGTCCTCCCGGTCTCCGAAGAGCAGCGGACGGAGGCTGTAGCACAGACCCATTGGGCGCGGGGGGCGCGGCGGGCGCGGCCGCGACCGGGTCCCAGAGGCGGCTCAGGCCGCCGACCCCGCGGAGGGCCGGGCGCGCGCTGCCCTCGCTCTCGGCGCGGCCCGGCGGCCGGCAGGCGGGGGGTCGGCCCGGGGCCACGGCCCCTCACGGCCCGGGAGCGCCATTTGACATCTTCCGCGGGGTCCAGGGGGCGCGGCCGCCGGGCTGAGGCGCAGCGGAGAGCGCGCGGAGCGGCCGCACCGACGGGCCTCGCGGCCCGGCCCCCTTACCGTAAATACGGCTCCTCGGCCAGCCCGTTACCGTAAGTGCTGCGGCCGAGCCGGCCCTCGTTACCGTAAATACCCCAGACGGAGCCGGCGACCGTTACCGTAAGTACCTCCACGGTCCGGCCTAATTACCATAAATCTCCCCTCTGGTCAGCTCGGAACTACCAGCGCCGCCGCTCTCGGGGAGCTTCCCTACCGTAAATACAACTGGCCGAGCCCAACGCGCAGCTGCTGACGGTGCCGCAGTGGCCGCGGTGGTTCCGCCACCATCCGGAGCTGCTATTGCAGCACACGTATAACAATGGTTTTGCTTTTGGACATTGGTATCTAATAACAGAATGCCGACTGAAGGGTTAGAGATGCTAGCTTCCATGTCTTCAGTTACCGAATGTTTTACCTGCAGAGATCGCTGCACGCCAAAGCTCATTTTTTTTGCTCATTTATATCTTGACTCACATGTGCACACATCTGCACAATTTTGATCCCTTCTTTGAAATTATTATGCGTTGATGTTGACAATATCTCCAAATGAATAAAAATATTATACGTTGATCTTGACAGTATCTCCAAGTCAGGAGGTCCATGACGTTTTCAATCATTACCACACTTACTTAGAAATTGAAAACGAGCACATGTAGTTGTCACATGCTATTTATATTTGCTAAAGACGAGAATCTGAAATTATATCCTATATTCTACTTTTTAAACTCACCATATAGTGAAGAGATGAACAGAGGTGCATTACAAAGTATGGATACAAGCCCACTAAAGGTTTCATTTTATCAGTTATCTCCTACTTAATGTCCACCATTTTATAGAGCTTTTGCAACAGATGAAACTTTCAATAGCATTTAAGAACTATGCTATATGTTCCTTAATTTTGAGCAAAATAAAATATAATGTTATAACGGATAGTTAAATATATTTTATTTATATATATATAAACATTGCATTGGTTAAATTTTAAAATTAGAGATTTCATGATTCACATTATACAGCCTTGCTAATAGAACTGTATGAGTATAGCATGTAATGTTTTTGATCTAACATGATCCCAAAATTATGCTGTTCTCTTAGATCTTCAAGTAGTAACAGAAAGGAAAACTGTAAAAAAATCTTAAGGAGAACAGAAAAAATTATTGAGTATCTCTATCATTTTCTGGTCATTCATTCACTCATCCTTCCTCCATTTATCCATTCATTTACTAAATGTTTTTCAAGCACCCACAAAGGGCAGTCTTTCTGGTTGGTATTGGCTGAGGCAAAATAATGGATTCTCATGGAGTTTCTACACAAGGTAGAAATATGTTCAATCATGTAAACCACAAGTCAAAAAATTTTTTTAACTCTATATTGTAAATTACACAAGTGCTGTGAAGAGAAAGAACAGCTTCTTTGAGAAGTAGTAAGGGAATGTGCAATTGAAATCTGGAGGTTTTGCCTATTCCAGACCAAGGGCATTTCAGATGAAGCAATGTTTGAATTTGAATGATCCATACCAGTTCCTTCCCATTGTATCTTAATAGCTAAACTTTATCACCTAGCATCACATTAGAAGTATAACATTGTTTATATATTAAAAACAGCTGAGAATAGAAATGCACAAAAAACATATCTGAGAAGAATGTACTCTAAAGTGCTTAAAGGAATACACAGAAGACCATGTTCTTTATTGGTACCCTGTATAAGAACTGGAAAAAATTCTTCATACTCTATTAGGAGACTCCTAGGGAAAAATGCAATGTCCATTTTGCCTACATTAAATTTAATGTCTTCTCTGTTATCCAGAATGATTTTTATTTCACCTCATTGGGTTATATAAGCAATTTATAATGGCAAAGAATGATTATGAATCTGAAAATCAAAATCATGAGGGAGCTCTAAAGTAAATATAAAATTATAGCATGTTGATTTAAGGTGCAGTTTTATGTTTAATCTAAACTGCTGCCAAAAGAATTATTTCATTCTGAATCCATCTTCCTCTGAACTTGCCTTCTAAAGCAAATATAAGTACAATGTTGTGAAAGGTTATATCTAAGTTCTTCGTATGGATCCTGTGTTTAATTAATGAAAGTGGCATTTTATTATTGCACATTTTTGCACATTTTTACACTGTACAGCAGAAAACTTAAGATTATAGAAAGGAATTAAGACCAATTTGGCTTCCTTCTCCCCAAACTAGAACTACGTTTGATTAGTATGATGTGTAATCATAGGGGATTGATTTAATGATACATCCTTATCAATGAAATAATAATATAGTCATTAAAATGAAATGAGCTTTGATATCCTATAATGAGGTCTTCTTAACCTTGCAACCAGTGACCTTTGAGATCAGAGAATTTGTTGTGGTTGAGGGCTGTCCTGTGCCCTGTAGGATATTTAGTAGCTTCCATAACCTCTACCCAGTAGAGGCCAGCACCACTCTTTCCCAAAGGTAACAACAGAAAATGCCTCAAGGTATGCCAATTGTCTTCTTAGAAAAATTGCCCTCACTTGAGAAACCCAAGAATATAAAGCAAAATGAGAATAGAAGTTCTGGGATAAATATAAAGAATGCAGAAAGAAGATTTATAAGCCAAAGTTCTTTAAATAGAATTAAACTGGCGGAAGAAAGACCTTCAGAAGTAGAAGACAGAAATACATAAATCAGTCAATTAGAAAAAGAGAGGAACAAGACTTAGGAAAAATGAGGAAAATTTTTGAGAAATATCAGATTCAGTTAGAAGTAACATAAGATAATATATATTTCAGAGGGTGAGTAGAGAGAGGACGGATGACGTTACCCTGGTAAAAGAAATAATATCTGAGAATTTCCTAAACTTAAGGAATGGATTAAGTATGGATGTCCAGGAAGCAGAGAATACTCAAATTTCTAAATACAATACTACCTACACCAAGACAGATCATTGTTACATTATCAAAAATAAAAGAAAAAATTTACAGAAAGCAAAGAAAAAGAATATAAATTACAAAGGTACTAACATTAAGCTTTCTTCAGATTTTGCCCTAGATACCCTGCAGTAGTCAAGAAGAGAGTGGAAGGAAGTGTTCACAAACCTAAAAGACAAGAATTGCCAGCCAAGAATATTCTACCTTGCAAAATTATCATTCAACTATAAAGGTAAAATAAAGGCTTTCCCAGACAGACAAATGCTAATGGAATTTGTCACCACCAAACCTGACCTTCAAGAAATATTGAAAGAATTTTTTTACAAGAAAAGAAAAGATGAACATAAATACTTGAGCAAAATGACAATAGGAATATAAAACCAGATTATGAGTCAATAACAAAACAATAAAGGAGAAGAAGAAGTAGACAGAACCTGTACAGTTAAAAGTCAGAGAGAAGTTAAAAGTCAGAGAGCAGATGCCAATTCACAAAGGACTTAAGATATAGGAATTTAAGTAAACTGCCCACCCCTTATCTCCCCCACCTCCGGTGGTAACCATTAACCAAAAATCCAGAATAGAGGGCCAGAGATGAAGAAACATAGAAATTGATAGAATCACTAGGGAAAGCTACCCAGAAAGAGTGGAGAGAAACAAACCAACAAAAAAATGACAGAAAAATAAAATAATCCCAAATCAAAAAACAAAATGACTGCTAATAAATAGATATACCAATAATCACGTTAAATGTGAATGACCTGAGGGCCTCCCCTGGTGGTGCAGCAGTTGAGCGCTGGGCTGCGAAGCTGCCCACAGCCTCTGCAGTGCCTGTTCGATCCCCGGCCGCCGGCGAGGGTCCCATATGGCGCGCAGACCTCTCTGGCCACACTCGCTGCTCCCATCATCAGTGTATTTCATCAGTCTGCCTGTTCTGTTCCCCGCTCTGGCTCTGGTGAATTCTCTTACCCTCCCAGGCTTCTGACTGAACCCAGTGCTTGTATAAATAAATAAATAAATCTAAAAAAAAAGTGAATGACCTGAAATCACCATTTAAAGGCACAAAATGATAAAGTTATGCAAAAAGTTTCAACCTTCTGTATTTTTTGTATGAGACCCATTTAAAACCAAAAAACAAAACCAAACTGTAAGTAAAAGGTTGAGGCAAAATTTATAAGCTAATAAAGAAAAACAGGAACTGCTATTCTCATATCAGATGAATTAGATTTTTAACTAGAAAAGAAAAGAAAGGACAGAGGTGGACACTACATAATGATCAAGGGAACAATTCATTGAGAATACATAACTTTTATTAATATGTAAGCACCTCAGACAGGAGCATCTAGTTTTATAAAGCAACTGAAAACTTTCTAAAACAACATATCGACAAAAAAAAAAATTATTGTCAGAGACCTCAACACATCACTGACACAATGGAATAGATCATCCAGACAGAAAATTAACAGAAAAATAAAGGTCGTAATTGAAGTTAGACCAGATGGATTTAATGAACATATATAGAGCTTCCAAAATAAATGAGCATATTCCCTTCTCCAGTGCACATAGAACAGTCTCAAGAATATGTCATATACTAGACATAAAACATATCTCAGAAAATATATGAAAATAGAAATTATATCACACATCTTCACAGACTGCAATGTTATAAATCACAAATTAACCACAAAACATCCTGAATAAACCAAAAATACCTGGAAACTAAAAAGACTTCTGAACATGGGTCAAAAAAGAAATCATGAAGTATCTGGAGACTAAAGAAAACAAAGAGGCAAGCCCTAGATCCTACAGGATACTCTAATAGCAGTGCTATTTGGGAA